ATCCCTAACGTTCTGTGATTCTGTGATTAGACTAAAAATTTCTAATAGCCACTGATAAAACCACTCATAAAACACTAATATTTTTTTTTTTGCTCTTTCTGTTTAGCACTTGGTCAGTGAATGGTTAAGTGAAAAGAGCGATAAAGCAGGGAAGCCTACAGACAGTCTGTCGGAAAGGCCTCTACGCATAACCACCGACCCTGAAGTTCTGGCTACTCAGCTGAATTCCTTACCAGGTCTCACTTACAGTCCACATGTATATTCAACTCCAAAGCACTATATTCGTTTTACTTCACCATTCCTTTCAGAAAAGAGGAGGAAAAAAGAACCTGTGGAAAACATTACTGGCTCTTGTAAGAAGGTAATGCTTCCCTTCATTATGGTTCCCCATCCCATATTAATTAAAAATAAGTTTTTACTTGCTAGCACGAATTCAGGTAGAAAAAAGTTGTCATGTAACATGTTTTGAATTGTTTATCATTAAACTGTGGAGTTACTGATTGGAACTTGTTTTATTACAGCGTTGGTTGAAGCAGGCTTTGGAAGAAGAAAATTCAACAATGATCGATAGATTTAATTCACCATCACAAGAGAGATCTAGAAGTCCAGCCATCAACGGTGAAAATAAAAGTCCTTTATTACTGAATGACAGCTGTTCCCTAACAGGTGGAGCTTTTACTAATACAGTACATAAGAGCTATGTGGTTAAATGTGGTGGAAGACTGTGGTTTTTAAAGTGATAAGTTAATGAAAATTCCAAGGGTGTTTGCACTGTTTTCTGATACTTTTCTTCAAAAGAAATGCGTATTTTCATAGTGGTAGGGATTTTTTTCTCCCCTAATGTATAATTGATACCAGATAAGTTACCAACTATATCTCATAGTGTTTACAGTCAACAAAAGACTAATGTTTTTCACTATAAATATTAAGATTACAAGTACATTTTCTATGCTGTTACATTTCTTTTAAATCCATTGGGCCTGCGTTGCACCCGGTGGAAAAGCTGTTTAATCTTTTAGGCATAATACAAAATGGAATCGTGCTAAAAACTAAAGAGACTTCTGTAGGGATATGCCATCTGTCAGATGATTCCTGTGTACAATCCTGAACTTGAAATGTGGACTTCTTAGGTGAACAGTTTTTAAAATGCAGAGAGGTTGATTTTTCATTTTGTGGAAACATGGACAGTTCTTCCCATCATCCTAGCACAGATTTCAGTACCTGATACATCTGTAGGGTGTGAGGAGTTTTATTTTTCAGGAAGTCTGCCCTTAAGAGATTTTTGTACTCTTACTAATATTTTAATTTGGTGTTTATACTTTCATCATATCCCGTACTTCAACAACTGTGATTGCTATATTAAGATCTCTTCTGCCTTTCTTCTAATTTTTACCCACAGATCTAACGACACCACTAAAAAAACGAAGACTCTATCAGCTGTTGGAGTCTGCATTCTCAGAAACCTCCACTCCTACTCCTTCTCCATACGCCACACCAACCCATGCTGACGTCACTGCCTCCGAGCCATCGCTGTTCGCTACTCCTCCTAGGGTGAAAACGGAAGATGAAGCTTGTAGAAATGGTTACAAACCCATCTATTCACCAGTTACTCCTGTAACTCCATGTATACATGGCAATACCATGCACTTTGAGGTGAGATTTATAATTAATGGCAGTGTGCTCAGAGAATGCGTTTACACATTCTAAGGTATATCAGTATTTGTACTCCTGCTACAAGGGAGTGTTTTATGTTTCTCCAGGCTAAAAAAAAAAATTGACTTGCAATTTCTTCTTATTTATTTAGAATATTTCCTCACCTGACAGTTCCCCAGAAATAAAAAGGCGAGCTTACAGTCAAGAGGTAAGAGTATTTGCCAAAAATGGCAAATGCTGTCTTGATTGCACCTGTATGGATGCATGGTTCTTAGTAAATGCTTTCCAGCAGCCATTGCAAGTTTCCTGGGATGTAAAGGGTGGCTTCCCTACAGGTTTTATTTGCTTGTTATTGTATATTTCTACTTCACCCATTTAATTTTCTATTTTAAACTGGGTTTTTTCTTCTCTTTTTCTGTATCACGTAAAAACCTGATGGTTGTCATGGAAAGGAGTAACTACTGCAATTTATAGATAAAAACAGAACAGAAAAAACACAGTTGTGCTTTTCAGGCTGTAGTTAGATTGACATAACATTTCTCCTTGTTACCAGCATCTCTTAAATGGTTTTTGTTGAGCCTAATTATGCTCAGAATGAGAGAGCGGGGCAGAAAGGTAATAAACAGGTTTAGGTGGATTAGTTCAGGTACAGCAAGCGCGGTTGGAATGTGCCCGGGTTTTCTGCTTCTTTTATCTTGAAACTGAGGATCCCTTTTCTGTTGAATTGAAGCAAGTGCTTTGTAACTCCCTGGCTAGGGACTTGCTCCTGTTGAAGCTCCTCCCCCTTCCTCTGCCAGTCATAAATCAAACCTGGCATTTGAAGTTCATTTTTACTTCGCTTAGTATGCATTTTTATTAAAATGTTTTCAAGGAATACATGGCAATAGTAGAAGTAAGTGACTGGCTGTAGAACTGTTTCTTAAAAATAGATAAAGTTGTGGTACTGGAGGGTCTTTAATCCTACTTAATTTTGTTGCAGTGTGGAAGAATAGCTGATGTGCTTTTTTTTTCTTCACACAGGGATATGACAGAGCATCGATTCTAGCACTGAATTCTTTCAGAAATTCCAACCTGACAGAAATGGGCCTGCAAGAAATAAAGACTATTGGGTACTCCAGTCCGAGGAATAGGACTGATGTCACACGTCAGTGCACTGGAGAGATGGAATCAGTGTCAGACCTTCAGCTGGGACTCGAAGTAATTGAGCAAAGCGCACTGCATAAAAACCTGGAAGCCCCCACACATGATAGGACTGATGCAAACAGCCAATTAGAAACTGCTCATTGTGGACGGGGCACAATTTATTCTTCCTGGGTAAAAAGTCCCGACAGGACAGGTGTAAATTTCTCAATGAATTCTAACTTGAGGGACTTGACCCCTTCACATCAGTTGGAGGTAGGAGGTGGATTCAGAATAAGCGAGTCAAAGTGCCTGATTCAAGACGATGCTAGAGGCATGTTCATGGAAGCATCTGTTTTTTGTACTTCAGAAGATGGAATTGCATCTGGCTTTGGAAGGACTGTCAGTAATGACAACTTGATGGATGGGAATTGCACACCCCAGAATCCTCCGCAGAAGAAAAAGGTTATAATTTTAAGAATCATTTGCTCTGTCTTACATAGTCTGCTAACAATATTTCTATAACAGAAAGAACCATAATCTAATAAAAAACAACCGATGGCTCATCTTTAGATACTACAATGTAGTGGGCATTATTCAGGGGAAATAATGAAGAGCAAAGAGTAAAGCTGCATACACCTATTAGTAAATTTATTTTTTTTCCAAGTAATAGATAAGAATTCACTTTTATTTCTTATGAGTCCTTAAATGAATTGCTCAGTAAATAAGCTTTTCAGGTTTCAAAGTGGTTGCTTATGCCACCAAGTATTACAATGTGTTATTATACAGAATATATACTAGCATTATAGAGACCATACACTGTGAACTGTCACTAATTACTGCAAAAAAGTGCACAAGCAGATTGGTGATGCTGAGACTTCAAGTATATAAAAAATTGGAATTCGAAGGTATCTTGGTTTCACTGCTGGAACTACATGAAATCCTCATTTCCAAGAAATCTTTTTCTTGGCTTAATTTCTTCTATAAAACGTTGTGTTTGAAAAATAAGCACTATCTAAATTTGCTACTCTCATGAAACAGTTCTTGTAGGTAAATTGTGTGGTTGTGGGCAGCTCGAACCAGAATTGGAAGTTACGCTGCATAACTGTCTGTGACTGCACTTTGCTGCCAGGTTAAACTCCCTTTGCTCCTTCCAGAAATGACAAGACATGGAAGGCAGTGTTGTGCAGTGCAAGGGCTTACCAGTTCTGTCTTGCAGCAGACAGCAGTTATCGTTTTATGTTTGAAATGTGTGATTTTCTTTATGGAAGATCAAAGGGGTGGGGGCATATTCTGTGTATGTATGTGCATGCACGATGGGATTTTGGTTTTTTTGCTCCCATTCATCCTCCCCTGTACGTGCTGCTTCCTCCCCTGTGCTCTAGGTGCACCTTGCTAGGGAGCACACGGGATTCTTCCTTCAGAGGTTCTCCATCAGAACTGGATTTTGCTTCACTTTGCTTCAAACTGAGACTTCACTGAAGCAAGATGAGCTGTGTTCTTACCTGGTCCTGACCTGAGAATTTTGGAGAAAAAAAATGTTGGGGGAAAAAAACAACAAAAAACCAACCAAAAAAACCACAAAAAACCCCCAAGAAAACCCCACCAAAAAAAAAAACCAAAACAAAACAAAAAAAACCACAAAAAACCCCAACAAAACAAAACAAAAAAACCAAAACAAAAAAATGCAAAAAAAAGCCAATCAAAACAAAACCGAACAAAACAACCCCCAAAAGAACCAAACACACACACACACACACAAAAAAAACAACACAAAAAGAAGCCAAAATGTTCGTTGTGTCACATTCTTCTTTATCTGAAGGTTAAATTAATTTCTTTCCAAATCCCAGAAACAACCAGAGAAAATTATATCTGTACCCCTTAAAATATGAGGTTTAGGTTTCCAAAGACACAGAAAAATGCAACTTTCTACAGTGAAAAAAGGTAAGGGGGGGAGAATCTCACCTAAGGACTAAGGGGAGAATTCAGGAATGTTTGTAGGAGAAGCCTGCAGTTGTCAAAGGAAGTTTTTCCGTATTTCAACATTTCTGTGGGCATCTGCTGTTCTGTTTTCTCTCACCATTGTACAAGTTTATCCCGTGGCCACACTGCAGAGATTCCATCCATTCTGAACGCTTAAGCTTTCTTTAAAGTAATAATCTTCAAGGGATCTCAGTGATGGGATGTAGAAATAATACAGATAGTTTCAGTGCAAGATCAGGTCTTAACCTAAACTTTCTTTGACGAAAAAGCAAATATTTTTAACTGTCCTTACCCTGACATACAGGTGAGTCTTTAATGGATAGAGCTGGGTAGAAGCCAACAGACACAGGAAACCCCAGGACCACAGCCAGTGCAGGCTGCCTTGGTTTCTTTCTCAGTGACAAACCAGATGTCAGCTTTATTGAGGACACAGCCAGTTAAATGTGAATGTTTTTCATTATTGCCCTCTCATTTCTTGGATGCTGTGTGGTTCAGGGTAGGTTGCTGATAACTAGAAGAAATTATTCAGAAACATTCAAATACCATTTACACCAACCTGGCTTCCCTACTGAATAATTAAGTAGGTCCAAAGGTCAGTTTGAAACAGTTTTCAAACAGTTTTCTGTTTCAAATCCTGAGGATATACAGTGTAAACACTTGAAAATTTCTCAGTGAAGGTAATCTTGCATCTAAACTGTTTTCTATGGGAGCTTCTGTGTAGTGATTTTACATACACATAGATACATAAGGTAGAAACCATTTTTCCCTTCATTGTCATGGTTTTCACTAATAAACTTTACTTGGCATTTACTATTAAATTATGTTCTTAATCAGTTTCTTTTTAGAGTGCAGTAAAGACAAATTCAAAATAATCTGGGAAAAGAAAGAAAGAAAGTAAGTCTTAAGTTGTGAATTCTGTATGTTCAGAAAAATGTACAAAGAGTGTGGAGAATTCTTTGATGCTTTGCAGTAGAGTGAAGCAGAAGCGTGGTGGGATTTTTCACACAAGGGAGTCAAACTTGAGAGCAGGATGCAGCGTCTCATAAAATTAGCTTTTCTCTGTCAGTACACTCTTACTAATGCTGCAGTTCCGGGAACAACTGTGAAGTCCCTTACAGCTTCAGCCACCCAGACGACTTCGGCAGGGAGCCTTTTGCTGACCTGCATCATCTGCCGCTTGCCTGAGGCAAAATGCAGACTTCTCTGTAAAGAGAAAAAAAGCAGTAGCTTTTCTGTACATTGCCCGTACAGTGATTAGTTGTGCAGTAAATTCACTGCAGTTGTACTGAAGTATCTTCAGTTAATCTATCCCCATTTTCTTTTAGAACCAAGTTAATGGTGTTTTACTGAAAGAATACATTTAATCGACAATGTCAAGAAACAAGTAAACTTCCCTTCTAATGTTTGTTTGTTTTTGTTTTTCTCCATAGGTATCCTTATTAGAATACCGTAAGAGACAACGAGAAGCTAGGAAAAGTGGCTCCAAGACAGAGAATTTTCCCCTGGTTACTGTATCTCCTCATGCTGCTGCTGGAGGAAGCATAAGTAGTAACAATGGTGCTAATGATGGGTATAACAACAGTGGTGAAAACGGGGAGCAAACTGATAGCGCTGCAAGCCTACCTTTACCACTGCCAGCTACTGTTTATAATGCAGCTCCAGAGGACACTGGCAACAACAGTGCAATTAAGGAATCTGCTGCCAGTGAGAAGAATGAACCAGAAGTTCAGTGGTAAGCCACAAAGCTATAAGACTTAAGTGCTGAAGAGTTACTTCAGGCTTTTCCACCTGAAACCTGTTTTTTGTTGATAAGGGTGCAGTTACAAATGACTAATTGGAAGCTCTTCTTTCACAAAAGTAAAGAGTCGTCATGTCTCTTTACTCAGAAATATAGCAGGTACCATGGAGAGATTAGAATGTATTAACAATTACCCATAAGATACTGGCTAACACATTTTCATTCTGCCTTGCTTTTTTATTTTCTAAGAGCAAAATGGGTATTAAGAGAGCATTTATATTTCTAAGAGCAAAACAGGCATGACAAATTGCCTAGTTCTGTAGATCGTAAAGCTGCACAGGTAAAGTACACTTGTAAATCTGTAGTAAATGGTGCCAGTGAGTAGGCGTGCTCCCTCCACCACTGCACGAGTTGGGCTGCATGTGCTTGCTGAGGTGTGTGGAGGAGGAGCAGCGGTTGGGTGGGGAGAGAGGTTGGGTCCCATTCTCAGCACAGCCTTTGCTCTGCACTCATGTCCTTGTATCTCCACTGCTTTGTCTGTGGGCTGAAGTGGTCATTTTCCATCTTAAACCTCAGAACTTTTGCAGAAGTTCCGTAGGGAAGAAGGGTGGAACAGGAGACTCGTCTGTATGGATGAGAAGACTTGAGAAGTGTTTGTCAGTGATGTGGCTGGAGCGGGTTTGTGGTGGTTGCTGCTGTTAGTGCAGTGTGCAGGGCTCGCATCCTTGTTGGTGATGATTAAATGGTTCCCCTGTGTGCAGACCATATGCTCTGTTGGATGCCATGCCAGATACTCCCAACAACCAAAAATCCTGAGGAGTGAGGGAGTGTGAAGGAGGATGACGTAGAATGACTTCAGTCTGTATAAACATTGCACAACATTTTCCACTACATTCTTGGTAGCCTTAAGGTCAATACTGGTGATGCTGTCTCCAAAACGTTACCAGCACAAAGTGAAGCCTGCAGACGTTCTTCGTGCTGTAGCGAAGGCCTGACAGCGCTGGGGATGAGCATGGGCTGAGGAGTTGAAGATCCTCCTGCTCTGGTGCTCCAGCTGTTCCAGGATAGGAGGATTTTGTAGAACCAATTGAAGGGAGAACGTAAGTGCAGTCTTCAGAGTTTCATAGAAAAGGGACTGTGAGTTCTCTGTGCAGAAATCAGTGTACTGTACTGTGAGCAGAGAGGCTAAATGGGGAAGAATTTTTTTTGCAGTGATCCTGCAGACAGCACCAGCATTATTTTAGTGATGCTGCATGTTCTTGTCTGAAGAAAAATGGAGTTCTGTAGATTGCTGTCATTTCTGTTCTTCCCAATCAGACTGTGATTGTCACATGTAATCGATTAGGAGAGATGACGACTGCTGCTTCATACCCGCTGTCTGACATACCCAGTGAAACATAGGAGTTTAGACCAAGATACATTAATACTTGTGCAGTATTTATAGCTACGGATCCACTGTTAAAAGAGCAAATGCTTTTAAAAAAGTACAAATAAATAAAATAGACAATTTCCAGCTTTGGTAGAAGAGTTTTCTACAAATGGAGAATAGGAAGCAGTTACTGCCACCTTTATTTTTCTGAAAAATTTGTCAAGTGTTCAGAAAAATAAAAAAGACCCACAGATCTAGAGCTGTTGTTTCCATATTAAATGGAATTGTCAGTTCTTGTCATGTAACAAGGTTGCAGGAAATGGGGGGGAAAAAAGATAGAGAATACTCAACAAATGATTCCTGATGTACCACCAGTTGCTTGGCTTCTACATGCAGCCAACAGAGTGAACTTTCCCTGACCCAGTATTTGCCTATGCACTGTCCTAACTGTGCTCTGTGGGAGTACCTCCTCTTACATTTAAAATGTGCTTCTCTCTCTTCCAGGACTGCATCAACCTCTGTGGAACAAGTACGAGAGCGAAGTTACCAGAGAGCTTTACTTCTCAGCGATCATAGGAAAGACAAGGACAGTGGTGAGTTATGCAGCATGTCGAGGTCGATCCACCCAACCAGTGCCCCGTGGTGGTCGCTGATCGTTCTAATCCTGTGTTTGGGTCTGCTTCATCTGTAGGGGGAGAATCACCCTGTAGCCCCTGCTCACCATCTCATGTTCAGTCTCCACCTTCATCTCATTCAAATCCCATTTCCCAGTTGCAGCTTAAGGTCCCTTCTTTCACTGAATTTATGGAAGGTCAGTAAGTGGATGACCTTGTATGGCACTTGACATATTGAATAGTCTCTTAAAACATCATTGTATTTGACTTTAAAAGAGCTATGGAAGTGCTTAGCAATCTTTGGCAAAGACTGGATTTTCCCACTTTTGTATTTATCTGTGCTTTCTGTCTGTAGAACCTGATCCTGAAAATCCAGAGCCTACTTCTGAATGTCCGTCCCCAGATACTTCACAGAAGACTTGCAAGAGTCCGTCAAAAGCAAGCAAGGTAATGCACAGCGTACGTGTTGTGTGATGTGCATGTGAACACATACATACATCTCCAGTTCATCTTGAAAAGTAGTTCATCTCATTTACTTCTTAGATGAACATGTACGTCTGTAACATCTGTGCAGTAATATGACGTAGGCATTTGCAGGAGTATTTGTGGTAGTCCATACATGCTAAAAAGTTGGTTGATACTCTGTTCTTTCAGTAGCTGCACCCACTTTTATGGTTTTTGCATTCTGTGGACACAGGAGAGGTTTTACCAGTGATTCGGTAGGCTGAATGCCGACGTGCTGGCAGCACTGGCAGCAGTACCGCGATTTAGGTGCTGCTCCCATAACAGGAGTTGCTGGAGCCATGTCAGGGTTTGGCAGCAGAGGCACTGATGCAGGGAAGGATGTGGAGCAGCTGCCTGTACAGTGATAAACGAAGTCATTCAGGGTGTAATGCGTAGCCCGTTTGCTCACACTGCCAGTTTTAAAATGTTCAATCACTCCCAAGATGGCTTTATTTCTGTACAAGGTTCTGTCTGCAGTTCGTTCTTTCAGGCTCAGGAATCAAAGTGTTAACAAATAACAGATTCTGACTTTGACCTGATGGGTCCTGTTTCTGTTACTGCTTTCAAATGCAGTTGCTGGCCTTTAACTTTCAAGAGTGATTGATACCTACTTGCTAAAAGCAGCATCTTGGTATGTTTAACCTTCCGCTGTTGCTGTTTTTCTTACATCAAATACCTCTCCCGTGCCTCAGCACTCTCTTCCACCACCAGGGGGACAGAGCAGTATTCTGAGAAGCTATTTTCTTTCTCACGCATGCGTAGTTGAACCTTTTGAGTGTTTTGCACCGACTTCCTTTCGTTGCAGCCCTCTTCGCCGAGTCCTGTCGTTTCAACGCAGTCACTTGGGAAAACGCCCGCAAAACCAGATTCGCAATGGGAAACTGCACCCGAGGCTGAATGTGCGAATCACCCAAAACCCGAGCTGCAGCAAAAACAGCTGACAAATAACGTCCAAGCACTTTCAAAAACTCACCCATCTCAACCACACCTGCGCAGTTCTGCCGAGCAACTTTCACATTCACAGAAGTTGCCTTCTGCACCTTTGAAGCTGCATTGCCCCCCTTCACCTCACGTGGAAAACCCCCCCAAGCCTTCCACCCCACACGCGCCCGTGCAGCACGGGTACCTTTCACCAAAGCCTCACTCGCAGCAGCTGGGATCTCCGTACAGACCTCATCACCCGCAGTCACCTCAAGTCGGGACGCCCCAGCGGGAGCCTCACCGAAGCTTCTACCCGGCAGCGCCCACCCTTCAGCCCAGCAATCCGCAGCAGCCCAGCGCGCCCCTCTTCACTCAGACAACGTCAGGACAATCTTCAGCCTCTTACAGCCAGTTCAACCAACAAAATTTGAACAACAGTGCACCACCTCCCCCACCCCCTCCACCCCCTTCTTCAACTTACTATCAAAACCAGCAGCCCTCTGGAAACTTTCCAAGTTACAGCCAGCTGAAGGGCAGCATCCCCCCCCAGACTGTGTTTTCATCCGGACCAAACCAAGCACTTCCTGGCGCTGCGGGGCAGCAAGCAGTGCCAGGGCACCACGTCGCAGCGGGTCACTTTCTGCCCCTCCCCCACCCCCTCCACCCCCTTCTTCAACTTACTATCAAAACCAGCAGCCCTCTGGAAACTTTCCAAGTTACAGCCAGCTGAAGGGCAGCATCCCCCCCCAGACTGTGTTTTCATCCGGACCAAACCAAGCACTTCCTGGCGCTGCGGGGCAGCAAGCAGTGCCAGGGCACCACGTCGCAGCGGGTCACTTTCTGCCCTCTCAGACCCCCAGTATTCATCACCAGGCAGCGGCGTCCGCTGCTCCACCTCCTCCTCCGCCTCCCCCTGCCCCGGGACCCCACCTTGTACAGCAGCCGAGCGCCCATCAGCAGCACTCTGTAGCACACGTCGTCGGTCCGGTGCACGCCGTG